TTTAGTTATATTCTATATTATTCTTAAATTTAAAAATTTTGAAAGTATCTTATGACCAACATTTTCAAAGCATCTTAATCCTGTCTGACCACCCACAATATATCTCTGTAGCATAGTGTGTGTATGTATAAGTTGGCATGAGTTTGAATATAGAGCTGAATACAAAGTGTTTGCCAAAACAGTCTTTCTTATTTCTTGTACTGTTAGTTTTAACCCCTCAGTAATATTCTATGTGTTAAAATATAGAAGGCCCCAGCACTTCATTCTTATTGTGTCGTCATTAGTCATTTAACAAAATACACTGGACAGGGAAAGTTAATATTCATTTACTTCCAACTAATCAATATGAAAAAATGAGTTTTAAGGTTCAAGAAAATGTATCTCACATTCATTCATATTTCTTTTGAAACAATTCTTATCCTGTGGACAGCATATTAGTTAAGTTACCCTTTCACTGGGGTGACAGAGAGTGTTAAAACTGCTGTACATAAAATAAAAATATACTCAACACATTTATGTTCCATTTTACTTTTCCAAACTCTTCTCTGCTGAGTTCCTATGTTTCTGGCATTTGCCTCTAAAAAGGTCTTGTATTTATTTATCCCCAGCATCTTATAAAACTATTCAAAACTTGTGTTGACTATTCCTGTGCATTCTCTAAATAGTGCTAGTATGTCATGAGGATGATTAATGTCTGTGCGTGTGTGCACGCATGTATATGTACACAGGGTTTATGAAATAAAAAAATGCTCATGTCTTCATGTTTTAAAGTTTGACATTTACAATGCTGAGGTCTATTTGAATAAAAACAGGAAAATAAACAGCAAAGACTATTAGAAACACATTTGAACCCGAGGACAGTTCTCATTAGGTGCATCTGACAAGCAGCTAAAACCTTTATTGACTGCCTTTGGGTATGATCTACTTTAGGAGTTGTCTGTTCCTCAGAGTTTATTTTTAAACACATTGAAGGACGTGGGCATACAACTCTATGACTTGTCTCTAGTATAGAAGAATGATCTCTCAGAAAGAATAAAATCCTAGTGGTTATAAATGGGTCAAAAGGCTTAGATCTTTTTTTATTTGTACTTCAGAAATGTAACCAACTGAATGAAGTGGTTTCATATACATTTTTTTTTTACATCCAGCAGAAGTGACACACTGTTCATACATTAATTCTAAAGAATAATGTACATCCCTCTTTTCTCTTAAGTAAGATTTGTCAAGTGTTCTTGGACGGAGAGGGAAAAAGCCCCTTTCATTGCAACCCAAATGAATGAAGCAACAAGAGTAAGTTTCTTTCAATAGCTAATATGTCAGTGAAGTTACTGTCCAGGCATGTAATATTAACATGAGTAATAGGAGGTCTTACAAATTCTCAAAAAAATGTAAACTACCAATTTCAAAACTTTACAAAATAGTCTATTGGATTTTGCAATTGAATCTGCCCAGGGACATTAAAGTCCAGGACCATTTATTTTAAGTGAACTTCTGTAGCTCCATTCCTAGCTGGCTGTTCTTCTATTCCCCAATCACAGAGAAATGCATTCCTATGAAGTCAAGCAGCTGTAGATACAGAATGCTGATGACGTTTCTCTTTATCTGTCTCATCTAAAGAAAACCCAGTTAGTGGTAATTCTACCAAATACTTGTAACAGTCACATAAAATTTTAATTGATTTTCAAACAATACAATGGTGCCATGAATCCAATACATAGAATATAAGTCTTAAGCCCACTAGGTTTAAGCAATTGTGTCTTTGTAGATTAAAACTATGTAAAATAGAATCTGGTAACTCCCTGGTGTTAGAGGTAGGCAGTTTTCTTTCAAATCCTAGGTTTGGTCCTTTATTTTATTCAGCAGTGAAAGCCATGAATACAGAACAAATAACAGCTGTTACAATTCTCAACCATGACTTCTAACGTCAGAGAATTCAAAGTATGAACATAGTACACAGTAATGAAAAGTATCAAAAATTAGTTTACCTCAAAGAAGATAAATAAAACAGGTATATCCCACCAATACATAAACAGATGTTTGTGCTACAGTTAAAATTTGCTGTATACAAAAGATCATAGTCCCCATAATCAGCTTATGGTAGAAGCAAGAATACATGAGCCATTTAAATTGTCAGACATTATGCTTTATAAGGTATGCACAGAAGTTCAAGCAATAAATACATACATTAGTTCAAAGCCTTACAATAGCTACGCAAAGCAGATGCAGAAAAGCAGGTTTGCTATTACTAGCAAGCAATGATAGAAGAGTAAAAATCCATGAAATGCATTAAAGCAACATTTTTCTTAGAAAAAGTCTGGTCATTTATGGGTCCACCAACATTTTTACATAATATGCACAATTATCAAAATACAGACCAAGCATTTCAGAAAACTCCAAAAAACCTAAAATCTATTTTTCAAAGCAATTGCAGTTTTGGAGGTTTTTCTGGTATGTGCAAGCAGCTATTTTTTAAAATTGTATTCATATAAAACCCATGCAAAACTCTACAGGTATATGCATTCTGTGGCTGAGACTTCCTTTCATAAGTTTTGAAACTGAGGTATGCATACTTTAGCATTGTAGTCTTAGGCCACCCTCCCGATGGAACAACGCTCCACGTTACTTCCAGTCCATCAAAGCTTTTTGAACATGCACCCGAAAGCGTTTCCCTTTCAGATTATTCCTACAGCAGTATCCTAGGCATCAGAGAACCATCCTTCAGAATACCAATCTCTCCTTTGATACCACATCAATAACTTCCGGTTCGTTGATCATGACCCAAAGACAAACATAATGAAAAGTAGCAGGTACTGTGACGTTCTCATGTTTCATGCAATCTGCCATAATTGTTCTAACTTTTTTCACTTTTTTTCGTTTTTTTTTTCCTTTTTTTCCTTTTTTTTTCTTTTTTCTTTTTTGCAGAGGTAGAAGCTTTCAGAAAGCCTTTTGGGTAAGTGGGAAAACCCTTTGAAAGCCGTTATGTCCTTTTATTTGGTGTGATAGATGACTGGGTATCTCTCTAACTCTATTTGCTGACTTCAGCAAAGGATAAACATTGAGCTTAGTTTGCAAGAACCAGCTCCATCACATGGAGCCGGGACATTTGTTAAGCCCTAGCAGCCACCTTCTGTCAAAACTGTTTGTAAAGCAATAACCATAATTAGGTTATGAGGTCCCTTGGTTGGGGGAAAAAGTATTATCAAGACTTGGCACAGCACATGAAAAGCAACACGTAAAGTCTCTAGGTTTTAAGCAAACATCTGACTATGCTACCTTCAACTACACCATAACGTATTATCATAGTTTTGGGGTTTAGAGTTGTCAAGAAAAAAAAAATCAGCATTCCAACAATTTGGCCTGCACAAGTCTTTGAAGGGAGTGTGTTAGTGTTCATATCCCGTATAAGCAGAGGCAGAATTATATGTAACTTTGGTTTGACTGAAAATAAATACCATGGGCTACACTTGCTATAATCTTTGCTTTCAGTGTAAAAACTCAGCTAGATCACTTTAAAATCAATAGGAAATTAATTTTTGGCTTTACTAGACCTTTTATGTTTGGTTCCTACTTTTTGTTTTTTGTTTTTTTTTATTATTATTATAACTTAAGACTATAAAAAAATAGTACACAACAGAGATTAAGACCATACAAGACATGTACTTCTAACAACATGTACTCACCACCAAAAAGATGGGGGGGGAACAAAAACGCAATGTACTATATATATATAACAATACGCAATCTGCATTTGCATCAAGTACATAATTGTTTTGGTCAGTGATCCACATATGTTGCTTTCTAGCATGTCATTAACTTCCACTGCAGATTTTGTCCTCACCTCTGTCTTTAATGAAAGCAAATCTTCATTGCATTTAGATGGACTTTTGGCCTCAGAAGATTACTCTGTGACTGAATGAACTCTTTTAGTTGTGGTTTTTTTTTTGTTTGTTTGTTTTGTTTTTTGTTTTGTCATATTCGTTTCTTTGTTTAGGGCTAAATGAAAAGATCCCAGAGGTCATCAGAAAACAGCAGGTAGTTCATGGAAAAGGTTCCTTTGTACTAATTGAAGTTACAGAAGGCTGACCAAAGCATGTGGCTGCTTCTGTCCTTGAGCTCTTGGCCATGGTTAGAGTTGGCTTTGGTTTGCAGCTGTAGCCTTTGACTGTGTTTGCAGGTAGACAAAGCTTTATCACAAGGAGGTAAAGAGTACAGTTGTAAGATCTATGCAGATATGCAAATGTTTCTATGGTGCTTGCACAGATAATGTTAGCTTAGGATTGCACTTTACATCTTTACACTAACAGCACAGACTGGAAGCCTAAGGTTTTAGATGGTTGCAACAGTCTAATTACTGTGTTCTGTAGTAACTAACTTATGTCATTTACAGTTGGTGGCACCAACATAAAAAACTAATGTTCTGTTGTTTAAAATTCAGCTAGATACAAGCAGTGACACTAATTTCTGATACTACTCCTGTGCAAATTAAAAACAATAGCAACAAGTTGAACTTGACCAGCAATTGTTTCTAACATTATAACTACTGAATGCTGGAAAATTCACATTAATGAAACTAACACTATTTTTGGCAGTATATGAGGCGCAGTTGCTTTCTATACGACATGGATCCTCTACTCAGTCATTTCATGAACCCTTAAGAGCCACATTTTTTAAATGGGCAGAGCCATTATAGAAAGAACAGTTCTTTCTTTTTTTCCAAGAAAATCAGTTTTTTGCCTTTTTTTCCTAAAAAAAGAAAAAAAAGAAAAAAAAGTAAAATCAAACAAACAAACAAAAATAAAGACAAAAAAAGAAGAAAACAAGCAATTTGCCTGTTGGTTCTGAATCCCAAAGGGCTGGCTTAGTAAGTTCCTTTAGGGCTGTCTCCTTTATCCATGCTTAATAAATAGTCACAGTAAAAATTTGTCAACTATTCATGGTTGTGGAGTGGTTATGAAGGTCAGTGATATGTCCCTTCACATTGAGGTGTCACAAGTTCACCC